AACAAAATAAGATGGGCAGGTTTCACATTTGACACATGGAACTTGGAGAAGCTAAACTAAGTCTATTTCAAATTCTGGTCCACTTATCTTCAAGCACCCAGGTGGTAGTTAGTTAGAATTTCAGGAGAAAGGGTGAGATAATACTATAAAACAAACTGACATGCTTATTTAGGTTAGTACACTTCTGCCCAAGCATATGGGCAGAAGAACAGGACTATGACTATACTCTGAACCAGTACTTTTCTATTTAGAATGAAGATAATTTCATACTCTAAATTCATTGTACCTTAAAAACAAAATCAGCTCTTCCCCACACTCAGAAGCAGAGGCAGGAGGCACAGGAGTTCAAAGTTACCCTTGAACTACTGAAGTTTCCTCATTCTATTTTCCCATGCTGTCTTTACTTATTCTAATCCCCTTGGTATCCTTAAAAAAGTAGTGCTAATCTTAAAAAAGGAAGTTAAATAATTTGTTTAAGAATTCATGATGACTATATCAGTCATGATTTTGTCCAACTTTAGACACAAAGTCCTGTAGTCTATTGTAATCGCTCTCATAACTAAAGAAGTTGGGATGAACTGGTATTTGTTTTGACTCATGATAACATCCTAGCACTTGGGAGGCTGAAGCAGGAAGACTGTTGCAAATTCAAGGTCAGCCTCAGTTACATAAGGAGTACCAGGCCAACCAGGGCTTCCATAGCAAGACCCTAACTCATAAAACAAAACAGGAGTGGGGAGGAAGAGGGGATAGGAGAGGCTACCTCATAACATTAAAGATCATGCTTGTAACTTGTTTAACATAGTATCTTTCCCCTAAAAGGTCAGTGAATATTGGCTATTATTATGTTTATTTTATCAACAGCATCTCTATCCTACTGAGCTTAAGATCTTACAGTATATCAAAACTTTCATTTTTTTGCTTGGAACCTGCCTCAGCCTTCTGAGTGCTGAGATGACAGGTGTGAACCACATACCCAACTCTTCCTCAGTGTACCCTTCCTTTCATTGTGGAATAACTGAATTTTGAGATCCAAGAATCTAGTATAATTTTGTACTTTGTACAAAATTCACTGTACCTGTTAAGAAAGTATTAATTCCCTATGCTATTACACTTAACATAGGCCCATCATCTGAACTAAATGCTTCCTTTGACCTCTGTCTCTATTCTCTCTGAATCTGGCTCTTGGTTATGGCACTGCTCTGCTCAAAACCTTTCAGAAGCTCTTACCGCATTCAAGTAAAGTTCAAACCACACATCTTGGTATTGAAGGTATAATATACCATATTCTATTGAACTTTCCTAATTATACTTTTTTTTTTTTAATTTGGAGGGAGGGATGTGCCACAGCAGGTATGTGATAGGAACTGGTTCTGTCTTTCTACTCTATGGATCCTGGAGATTGAACTCAGATTATCTGTCCAGCATGGTAGCATTACGTTTACTGTTGAGCCATGTCACTGGTCCACTCTATTGATTATATGCTTTAAAATATATTTTTTGGCTGGGTATGGTGGTGCACACCTTTTATCTCTGGAGGCAGAGATAGGCAGATCTCTGTAAGTTCAAGGCCAGCCTGGTCTGTGGAGCATGTTCCAGCTGGGGCTATGGGGGAGACTATGTGTGTGTGTGTGTGTGCGTGTGTGTGTGTGTGTGTGTGTGTGTGGGTTGGATAGCTTTGGTGTCAGCTTGACACACCTAGGCTGAGGGAGCCTCAATTGGGGAATTGCCTTCATTGGACTGGCCTGTGGCCATGTCCATGGGGCACTTTCTTGATTGTCGAGTGATGTGAGAGGGCCCAGCCCACTGTGGTGCCACCCCTGGGAAGGGGGGCCTGTGTTGCATGGGAAAGAGGGCTGGGTGGGGGCCAGGGGAACAAGCCAGTGGGCAGCATTCCTCCATGGCCTGTGCTCCACCTCTTGCTTCCAGGTTCTTGCTCTGAGTTCCTACCTTGGGCTCCCTGGTGGGCTGTGACCCGGGAGATGTAAGCTGAATGGACCCTTTCCTCCAGGTTGGTGTTGGTTGGAGTGTTTTGTCACAGCAATGGGGAAACAATATATACACACACACACAATTTTTTTTGTTTGCCTCTTTTGTGTTGCCTCTCCTTACTCCCCTCCTCCCCTCAGCCTCTTTATACTAATCAGTACTAGTCAACTACCTCCAAGGAGGCACCTTCCTGGTCATTTCCTAGTTTACAATAGTTCACAGTAGTTCACACTGAGACCTTCCTCCAAAATAGCACCACTTAACAGGCTTCTTACTTGGCCCTCCTAAAAGGTCTCACTGGAGTCAGCACGCTTAGTGGGTGGCTATTTACTCCATCTAGCCCACAAGAGACCCTTCTCTGTCTTCTCTCAATGTGGCTGGGGGCTCAACCAGTAATAATAGTGAAGGTATGTACAGCAGTGGTGGAGGCAACATAGAAAGAAGTTCCTCCAGACCCTTACAGTTTTCTTCCTATCCTGCTCCTCTCTGTTTAGCCACCCCCCCCCCCCCCGTCACAACCCCACAAAGACTCATCGCCACCGTTCCTTTCTTAAAACAGGTTCTTCCTTGCTTCCTTTCAGCTTATACATTGTTTTAATGCTTCCTCTTCCCAAACCGGGGTCTCCAAACCCACTCCCCTCCTCTTCTAGCCAAGATTAGCATCCCAGAGTCTCCAGTCAGATGCAGACAGATCCACATTCCCAGGACTTCTCTGAGCCCCTGTTCACATCACTGAGGCTTTTCTCCTGTTCATCATGGTCAGCCTGACCCTTTTTGTCTCAGCTGCACATAGGGCTTCCACAATCTCCTCCCCACACAGGGTCTGAGCACTTCTAGCATTTTCTGCTCAACCCCTGGCCTCCCTCACACTACATGAAAGCATTTGGGCCTTCTCAGCATTGGTGGCCTGCTCCAACCACAAAGGACCTCCCTGACCATTCTGTAAGGCTTTGGAGTGTATTCTGGAGCCCTAACCCTTCAAACCCACCTCCTCATGGTGTATCAAAACCCTTATGCGCACTTCTGACCTGACCAGGTCCTTCCTTCTGACCAAAGGAGTCACCACAACCTCTAGGGCCGTCCCTTGTTACTCCCCTACACACACACTCCAAGGCCAGGAGCCTCCTCTAATGCCACCTCCTTCCTCCCCCACTTTCCGTTTGGCCTGGCCTGTGATCTCACCCAACTTCAGATTGACTCTGTACCCCACCCCCCTCACACCACCCGTCTGTCTGGCCCAGGCCTCCCTTGTGCCTCTTGCATCCAGGTCTACCTAGTAGGGCCTTCACTTTCTCTTCAAGTCCCCACTATCAGTGCTCACGTCGTGGACCCCTTTCCCTCATCAGCTGCCAGGGCCCTGGCTGGCAGAAGACCATCTGGCAACAGGCCTCACCTCAGTCACCAGGCCCGCTGACTCCAGGCCTATCACCCCAATTAATCATCAGTTCGCCCTTCCCTGCCCCTCACCTCGGATCTTAGGCCGCTTGCCTTGGCTGTTCAGTTCGGACGGCCTCGACAGAGGTCCGGCCCTTTGGTACCCGCCACTCTCGGGCCTAGGGTCTCATTTCACTCCAATTCGGACTAAGGCCTCTTCCCCCGAGATGCGTCTAGTCCCAGTCCCATTCCGGCTCCTCGGTCCGAGATCACCCCGGCCCTTGCCCCGCCTGAGGCCTCCTCGGCCCTTCGCGCCCGGCCACCCGTCGTTCGGACATGTCCCTCTCTTGGTGGACCTCTCCACCTCTCCGCACTTCGCCGCCGCCGGGACCATCCGAGTGGTCCCCGGCGCTCCCTGCTCCTCGGGCAGCCAGCAGCAGTTTAGCGGCGAGGTCTCGGGTGTCGGTGCGCTCCCCGCAGCCCCGGGCCGTCAGACAGGCCACCGTGCCCGGAGCCTTAGGGCCTTTCCCCCAGCCCCATTCCCTTTCTTTCGACTAGGTTGTTCCAACCTCGCCATCCACTTGGCCTCGGGAGCCGTGCCACCCACGGTGTGTCCAGCAGCCAGCGGAGGCCCCAGGCCGTCAGTCAGTTTGCGTGGCTCCGGGCCTGGCCGCCTTGTCATAGGCCGGGCCTGCCAACCTCGGACCCGGCCCCCAGACAGCTGGCCGTCGCCACCGGTCGGCTCCACATCCGAGACTTCTCGCTCCTGCCCAGCCGAGTGTCAGTTCCGTGCTCGCGGCTTCGGCCGCCAATCCTGCCCTTGTAGCTCGGGCCCTGCCAGCTATGCCCCAGACCGGGCCTTCTGGCCTCGCCCCCAGTTCCCCGCCGGCAAGCCGCGGTACGGGTCCACCTGCTCATTGGGGGCTCAGCCTTTACTCTGTCCAGCTCTGTCAGCCAAGGAATTCATGCTCCGACTCCACAATCCGACTTCCAGTGCCCGGGGCTGGGCCTTGCCCCGGGCCTATCGGCCTCGCCCCCCGCGCCCCCTAGCCGCCGGGCCGCCCCCGCTCGTTGCCAGAGGTAGCCCCTCTCTCCGCGACTTACCCCACACCCCGCTCTCCAGAACCCCCATATGGGCGCTCACCGCCCGCCCGCACAGCTCGAACAGGGCGGGGGGAGCGCTGGGGCCCGAGGCCGAGCTCTTCGCTGGCGCCGCCTCCCGGGACGTGGCCTCCATGGTCGTTGCCGCCGCTACCTCACAGAACCAGCAACTCCGGGCGCGCCAGGCCTCGGGCGCCGCCATCTTGGGGAGGTGCGCGAGCCCGAGAATGACGCCCTCAGACCGCCATCTTGAAAAGGTCAACTGTTAGGACCGCTCCATAAGTGATATGGGTAAAAATAAGAACTGCTCTAAACGAATGTGTCAAGTAAATTAGCATAGCCTTCAAGTGTTTTAGGAAATATTATTTGGATTAATTCTGTACACCCATGTATTTTGGCCTAGAGTGACCAAAAGGATGTTTCTTAGGAAAGCTTTCGAAGGCATAAATACCAGCTCCCCCTGCCTCCTGCAGCTGGCGGATAGTACATACCAATATGAGCGTGTGTTCGAGACTACGCTGACTTTGCCGCACTTCCGGCCAGCCGCCGGATATCCGCCGAGTGACCCTTACAAGTCCTTCTTGGTCCTGAAGTGGAGTTGGTACCCTTGTTGGTTCCTGTGTGAAGCCCCGAACCGTATCCTGACATGGGACTAGAGGACGAACGAAAAATGCTTACCGGATCCGGAGACCCTCAAGGGGTAAGGCTAGGACTAGACTCACGATCCTTATTGCCCCGAGGCCGGAACCTGGCGTGCCGAAGCTCGTTCGGGGCCCGCTCAGTCCTGTTTTCCTCCTGGGGTTTGCGGGGTTGAGAAAGGTGGTTCCCGCTGCCCTTTTTCAGAATTTGTCGAATGACTTTGGATAAAGTAATGACTAGTTTTTCTCTGGGCTGGCTTCCTCCTGTCATGAATGTGATTGATGGTTTAATCGGAACGATAATGATAGACACACTTGTACCAAGATTGTGTGTATATTTTCAGTCGGTCAGGTGTTCTGAGGTCCTGATTTGACGAGCTTGTAGAGCAAACAGACCAACGCTAGTCTAACTCGGTTTAGGTTAGGAATCACTACATGTGGAGGTTGTGGGGACGGAGCCTTATGTCACTTACGTGAAAAAGTGGTTTCAGGAGTTGGGGGTGTAGCTTCGCAGTAAAACGCTTGCCTGACTCTAGGATGCCACAGGGTTTGCCCCTTAGCACTAGAAAAGAAAAAGTGGATCTTTTTCATTTTGGATAGAGATGGCAAAGGACTTGTGTTTTGGGGGACTGCGTAGGAATACGCAATATTATTCTGTGGTGAAAGAGGGAGCTCTTTCCCAGATTGGTGGTAGCATAGTAATACTGCAGGTATGGTGGCGAGCTCCTTTAATCCCGGCACCTGGGGAGGCAGAGGCAGGTAGATAAGGCCTGCCTGGTTTACATAGAGTTCCATGCCAGCCAAGACTACATAGTGAGACCCTGTCTCAATAACAAATATTTGACTACTTTCTATTCCAAGTGCTTTATATGTACTAATACATCTAGCCTGAACGGTATCCCCAGGAGGTAAATATTAGGTACTGCTATTTTTGCCACTTTTACACATGAGGCAGAGAAGTTTGTTATCTTGACTAAAGGTACACAACTAACAAAATGGTGCAGTTAGGAATTGTGCCAAAGTTTTGTGACACTAGATCCAGAACTCTGACCCACAGAAGCCACTAACTTTGCTTCCAGTCTCATTTCCTATCCATTTGTTCTCTGTCCACCTCAGGACAAGCCTTTTGAGGCTCATGGTTTTAGAATTAGTTGGAAACTTGTTTGTTTCCTATTAATAGTTTTCAGAAAGTGGTGGAGCTAGCCTCAGAAAGTTTAGCAGGGTACCACAGACTGCTACTGCAGCAGATGAAAAAAGAAAGCAGATAGCAGCCAGTTTATTAAAGACCCATAATTATTGGCGATTAAATCATTGCTCGAAGCAGTCCATAATTAGACTTATATTTGGATTTGTTTTTCTAAAATGACATTTTTGACACAATTATCAGTGATACAAAAATTACCAGTTCTAGCATTGCTAATAGGGAGTTAGCATAACGGTCTTGTCTAGGATATTGATTTCAGGTTGTTTTTTAAAAAATATTTCATATGCACATATGGGTATTTTATGTGTATGTGCATGTGGAGGTCAGATGACAGCTTCCACCATGTGTGGGTCCTGGGATCAAATTCAGGTCTCTAGGTTTGGCAGCAAGCACCTTTACCCGTGAGCCATCTCCCTGACCTGTTTTAGGGCTCTTTGTTTTGTTTTTTGATGCTGGACATTGAATCCACAGCTTCAAGATTAAAAGCATGTGCATTTTCTTTGTTGTCGCTGGGGTTTTGGTTTTGAGACAGAGTCTCACTGTGTATCCCTGCCTCTGCCTCCCAAGTGCTGGGTAATATGCATTCTTTAAAAAAAATTCTTTTTGCTTTATTTTCATTTTATGTGTATGCCTGTATTTCATGCATGTATGCAAGTGCACCCATGTTGTACAATGCCTGTGGAGGTCATCAGATCCCCTGGAATTGGAGTTACTGACAATTGTTAGCAGCCATGTGGGATGCTGGGATTTTAACCTGGGTCTTCTGCAAGAACAGCCAGTGCTCTTACCCCAGTGGTTAATCCATTTCTCCAGCCCCATAATATGCATTCATAAAAAAGTTTTAAGAAACCTTACTTGGTCGGGCATGGTGGTGCTTGCCTTTAAGTCCCAGCGCTTGGGAGGCAGAGGCAGGTGATCTCTGTGAGTTCAAGGCCAGCTGGTGCTACAGGGAGGCCCTTTCTCAAAAACAAACAAAAAAGAACCTTACTAGAACTTAAATCCTCAGTCCTGAAAGTCTCTGCCCTCCACTTTTTTGCAAGCTGCCTCAAGTTGTTTTGGCATTTTGAAAATAGGATTGTTGAGCCTGTCCTTTTCGTTTCCTATGTGTCTTTTGTTCTTCCCAAATATCGAACGTGCATATTTAGACAGGCAAGTCAGACTGTACTATGCCTCAGATTTAGGACCTGTGCTGATGTTCCAGGGGTACACTAAGGGAAGAAAGGAAACTTAGTTGAAGTTACATAAATTTGAAGTAGATTATATAAGACCTGGTATTTCTAGGCCCCTGGGTGGAGTTGTGTGGACTTTGTTATAGTTATATTAATCTGCAAGCTAAGAAGCAGTGGTCATAACTTTAGTTGACTAAAAAGTTTAAGGTTTGGACTTTTTTTTTTTTTTTTTTCTGGTCTTTTTGAGACAGGGTCTTCCTGTAGCCTCAGCTGGCCTGGAGCTCGCTATGTAGACCAGGCCAACCTTGAACTCACAGAGATCTTCTTGCCTCTCAAGTGCTGGGACTGAAGGCATGTGTCACCATGCCTGGCAGGTTTGGCCATTTTTATATTCCAAATTCATGTTAAGAGTCTAGAAAACAGTTGATTTTCCTCTAAATTTGGTTTTGGATATAAAGACTAAATGTAGCTATTTTTAGCAATACTTAACAAATACCTTTTGTTATTGTTTTGAGATAGTTTCTCATGTAATTTGAACTACTAATCCTCTTGCTTCTACCTTTGAAGTGCTAGGAGTACAGGAGAATAACTACCACACCCGTCTAAACCAAGATAGACGTGTGTGGTAGGCGTTGTGTGTGTGTTTTATATTTTTTTCTCAGGGCCTTGTACATGTTAGGGAAGTACTCTGTCACTGAGCTATATCCTTAGACTGTCAAAATACTTTTTTTTTTACTTAAGTGTATGCATGTATTGCCTTCATGTGTGTAAGTGCACCTGTGTCATGCAATGCCCACGGCGGACAGAAGAGGCTGTTGGATCCCCTGGAACTGGAGTTCTGGACAGTTGTTAGCTGCCATGTGAGTGCTGGGATTCAAACCCAGGTCTTCTGCAAGAACAACCAGTGTTCTTTAACCATTGAGCCATCTCTCCAGCCCGTCATAATACTTTTAAGTTTTTTGTGTTTGTTTGAGGCAGGGTCTCCTTGTAGCTCCAGCTGCCCTGGAATTCACTGTGTAAACCAGCTGGCCTCAATCTCACAGAGATCCACCTGCCTCTGCCTTCTGAGTGCCAGAACTAAAGGCATGCACCACCACACCTGGCTTAAGTTTTGTAGGTCTCATTTGATTATCTGATGGCTTGAATTTATATCAGGAAATATTTAATAATTACTGCTTATTTCTAAATTGGGATTACGTCCTTAAGATTTGATGACTAATCTGACCTTAAAAAATTAAGAAGTTACTTTATAAACTGTAGACTGTCTTGCAGTTCTTACTGATGAACGTGAAGTGGCTGGCATCTGTCTTGAATTATTCCTGGGATTTGCTTAAGATATGATAAGGTGATATACCTGGAGACAACTGCCTTTGAAAGAATTTATGGACTAGGCATAATAGCACACAGTTGTGCTCCCAGTGCTTCAGAGGCTGAGGCAGTACAACAGCGAGTTCAAGGCTCGCTAAAGCTACATAGCAAGTCACTATCTTAAAAATATAAAAGGGGCCAGGTGTGGTGGCCCACACCTTTAGTCCCAGTCTTTGGGAGGCAGAGGCAGGCAGACCTCTTTGAGTTCAAGGCCAGTCTGGCCTCCATAGTGAGTTCTAGGCCAGCTGGGGCTACAGGGAGATCCTGTCTCAAAAAAAAAAGAAAGCCCCAGTGATCCTTCTGTCTCCACCTCCTTCAGTGCTGGGGCTTTCTGGCTGCCAGCCTAGCAGGTTCAATGAGAGACCCTGCCTCAGAGAAACAAGGTAGAAAGTAGTAGAGGACCCCTGAAGCCTTCCTGACCTCCATGCACAATGATGCATGCACTTGCACACGCTCGTGTTTTTATAAAAGTGGGGAGGGGATCTGGGTGTATAGCTATAATTTCAGTACTTAGGAGGCTGAGGCAGGCAGATTGCCACAAATTGAGGCTAGATGGGCTATAGACTTAAGATCTTGTCATAAAAACAAGCAAGGAATAACGGGAAAAAAGGTTCAAAATCTTGGTTTCTTTGGGAAGGAATGAGTGAGGTAAGGTAAGCAAGCTTGATCAAATTAAGGAAGAGTTTGAATAATTTCAGTGAGCTCTGAACTATGGCTGACCCCTTGTTGACTTCTTAGGCTCTGGATGAATTAGGCTAGGGAAAAGTTAAGGTTGGTATGTGAAATTTGAAGTGTTATATTTTTGTTTGTTTTGGGGGGAGTCTTTTTGAGACAGGGTCTCCCTGTAGCCCCAGCTGGCCTGAGCTCACTGTGTAGACCAGACTGGCCTTGAACTCACAGAGATCCACTTGCCTCTGCTTCCCAAGTGCAGGGATTAAAGGCATCAGCCATCATGCCCAGCTGGTTATATGGGTTTTAAATTGACTGATTATACTTTAAAAGTATGCTCCTAGGCAAGGTGCATGTTATCTCTAAAGATTAGCTGGTTCTGGGGAGGCAGGATTTAGTGCTTAGATTTGCAAGGATCCTAAAAATGTCAAAATATCAGAGAAAACAAAATAATAGGATTAGAACAGCTTCCTTTGTAAGTGTGGTATCAATATGATTGGGAAAAATGTTATAAAATTGCTATTGACTTAATTTTCTTTTCCTTATCTAGGAAGAAGAAGAAGAGGAAGAATTAGTGGTAAGAGCTGTCTCAGGTTTGGAACTGTCTCACTAGAAGCAGGAAGTTTGGGCTTCATGAAACACTAAGGGCATTTTAAGGGATCTTTATGTGACACATTGGAGAAAATGAGGGTGTACTAAGCCTAATACCTCCTGTGCAGTTGCATGTTTGGAAGTGTGAGCCTGGAAAGCTTTTCTCTACCAGAGGTCAGATAGCATCTTGAAGGACTGGTGCTCTGTTGGGAGATCTCTGTTATGCAAAGTCGAAGCCCCTTCACACCGGACAGCTCATGCAGCTCGGGTTATGTGCTGCGGGCTCCTTTCATAGCAAGATGTCTTCCTGGCATCTTTCCTGTCTCTCCCTTTGAAGTGGCCACCACAAATGCCATAACATAAACATGGCCTCTGGCTCTAAGCAGACCATGCCTTCCTGTGTGATTTTTCCAGGCGGCCAGCAGTCTAGCAGTGTGGCAGAAATCCACTTCCACATGTAAATAGAATGCCTCACAAAGCATCTAACAGCCAAAGCTTTTACCACTACCCCCATGGTATAAAATATCCTAGCCTTCTCTTAACAGTGGGAGATTGGGTCAGAGACTGGGTCCCAGAGATTGGGTCCCAGAGAGAATAAAGCTGTAAGCACAGACTGAGCCGAGCCTTGAGTCTTGTGTACCGGCGACCTGATTTCCCCCGAGGGCAGCACCTTCCGTTACCAACCCACGGACACCAGCTTTCGCCGTCTCCGTACTCCTTCCCTGCGTGGCTCAGTGGCCAGGAGCCTCACATCCTGAGGAAGGGTACACGGGTGAAATAGAGACGGGATTCCGGCTGGACAATGCTCCAGTAGCAGAGTAAGCTCTCAGCAACAGAGAAGTTGCAACAGCCGCCAGCTGTTGCCAGCTCCAGAGACATGGGGCCGAGCCACCAGGAAAGCCTGCAGGGCACCCGCCGCTCCCGGAGCCGCAGCTTCCCAGAGAAGTCTGCGGATCCACCGTGCCGCTCCCGTGCCGCTCCTGGAGCCGCTGCTTCCCAGAGCAGTCTGCGGATCCACAGGGAGTGAGCGCACCCTGCGCCCAGAGAGAGCGCAGTCTCCCCATAGTGCTCATCTGCTATTTATGGTTTAATAAAGAACTCTAGAAGGCAATTTTCTTAGCTCTCGTTTGTATAGCCTTTCTACCTTTGCAGGTAGGGTGCCTATGCCTAGTTCTTACACAGGAGAATTGAAATTTTAGGTATGTCCTAGTCCCTAAGTGCTGTTTAGATAGTTCACTTGTTTGTACAGTCTTTCTAGCTTTGCAGGTAGGATGCCTATGCCTAGTTCTTAGACAGGAGAATTGAAATTTTAGATATGTCCTGGTCCCTAAATGCCATGTTAACAAGTAAAGCCACTAGTAGATCTGCTTCCAGTTTGCCTCAGTTTCCTTTGGTACCTTGTTTCTCGGATTGGACTGAGACTTTCAGTTCATACTAGCAACCTTGGAAGGCAGGAATGTGAAACCTTTTCCTATTAGCATTGAAAAATTAATGGGAGACTCCATTCTGCCATTTCTGGCTGCAGTGTGAATCAACCTGCTGGCCGCCTACATGGTCATTCAGAGGCAGCCCCTTAATTGGTTGTTATACTGATCAAACATGTATGTGGTGGATGTCTTCTAAAGCTTCCACTTTGGTCTTTTTTCTCTTTCTTTGTCAGGACCCCCTGACAACAGTGAGAGAGCAATGTGAGCAGTTGGAGAAATGTGTAAAGGCCCGGGAACGGCTAGAGCTCTGTGATCAGCGTGTATCTTCCCGATCACAGACAGAAGAGGATTGTACAGAAGAGCTCTTTGACTTCCTACATGCAAGGGACCACTGTGTAAGTCAGTCTGAATTGTGGCCAAGTAACACTTGGTGCTGACAGTCTTTCATGCTCCACGTAGCTATCAGTATCCAGCTACTATGGGCTCTGTAGATGTCTTACTACTGAGCATTTTATATACATAATTGTTCCTAATTCCTAACACATTCACTGGAGATAGGTACCGTTGTCTAATTTTACAGGATAGACTCTGATGAGGAGGAAAACATGATACCCCAAGTTGGTCTTTTTGAGACAGGGTCTCCCTGTAGCCCGAGCTGTCCTGGAACTCACTATGTAGACCAGGCTGGCCTTGAACTCACAGAGATCCGCCTGCCTCTGCCTCCCAAGTACTGGGACTACAGGTGCCCAGCTATTTTTATTTTTTAATTTTATTATTTTATGTGTATGAGTGTATTGCCTGCATGTATGTAAGTGCACCTGTGTTGTGTAGTGCCCATGGAGGTCAGAAGAGGGTGTTTGATCCCTAGAACTGGAGTTATGGACAGTTGTTAGCTGCCATATGGGTGCTGGGAATAAAACCCAGGTCCTCTGCAAGAGCAGTCTGCTCTTAACCACTGAGCCATCTTTTCAAGAAGCTGAATTTTTAAAAAAAAATTTATTTTTATTTTTGTGTGTATGAGTGTATTGTCTGTGTGTATGTAAGTGCACCTGTGTCATGCAATGCCCATGGATGTGAGCGCTGGAATTACAGATGATTGTTAGCCACCATGTTGTGTTGGTACTCTAATCTGGGTCTCCTGCAAGAGCATCCAGTGCTCTTAACCACTGAGCCATCTCTCCAGCCCCCAGTAACTAGGCTTTTTTTTTTTTTTTTTTTGATATGTACTCCTGGCTGGCCTGGAATTCACTGTGTAGCCCAGGCTGGCTTCAAACTCACAGATATCCTCCTGCCTCTGTCTCCTAAGTGCTGGGATTAAAGGTATGTGCTATCAGGGCCAATTGTTTTAGCTGTTCTTTCAGTGCTGGAGATAAAACCCAAGGCTTCGTTAATGCTATGCAAGTGCTCTACCAGCTGAGATACAACCCCCAGCCCTGGATTTTGTGCTTGAATTTTGTTTTGTTTTTTGAGACTGGATGCCAGCTGGTCTGGATCTCATAGAGATCTACCTGCCTCTGTCTCTGGAGTGCTGGGATTAAGGTGTGTGCCACCATGCCGTGCAGATTTTGTACTCTTCTCAGTGTGTGTGTATGTGTGTGTGTTTGTATCTTTTAGTGTGTCTTGTATTATAGTTGTTTATGTACAGAGGTTTTTTCTTTCATTTTTAAGATTTTATTTATTTTTATGTATATGAGTGTTTACCCGCATGTATTTAAGTGCACAATTGTTAGCTATCATATGGATGTTGGGAACTGAACCCAGGTCCTCTGCAAGAGCAGCCAGTGTTCTTTAACAGCTGAGCTATCTCTCCAACCTCAAGAGGTTTTCTTTTAAAGTAAGGTTGAGTCTAATAAAACTGCCATGGGGAGCTCATACCTATAATTCAGTCTGTGGCATTTAGGAGGCTGAGACACAAGGATTGATATGAGTTTGAGGCCAATCTGGACTATAAAGTGAGACCTTGACAACACACACACACACATACTGATAAAGTAGTCAGTGAGACTAAGCACTTGCCTAGAGAAGTCTTGAGTTTAATTACCAGCGTGGGGGAAAAATTGTTACATGTTAGAGAAATGTGGAAAAAATTCTCAGTAGTGTGTGGAAACACTGCTGGTAAAAATATAAATTGGTACAGCCACTACGTAAAATAGTTTGGCAGTTCCTCAAAAGGTTAAGCATAGAGCTAGGTGTGGTCGTGCATCTCTATAGCTCTAGCTCTTCATGAGGCTGAGGCAGGAGGATCACTTGATCCCAGGAATTTGAAGCCAGCCTGATCTTCACAGAGACACCCTGTCTCTTTAAAGGAAAAAAAAAAAAAAAAAAAAAAAGAATTAAGCATAGATTTAACATATGACCACAGTTAATACAGAGGGGCAGTTCCACTTTGTGTGTATATCCAAGAGAAAATTTTTTTGAGCGCAAATAATATAAATTTCTATTAGTTGGGTAGGTGGTGGTTTTCAGTTCTTGGCAAGGGAATTGAAAACAGGTTTGTGTGGTGATAGCTTATTTAGTGACGGCTTATAGGAATTCACAACCAAGTTAGATAAGATTAGAAGATGGAAAAAAATGTGGCATTTTGGACAGATGGATAGAGTCAGGGAACTGAGAGTACCAGGGCCCAAGTGCAGAGAAGGGTAGTCCAGGTCATGAAGGGCCTTGTGAGCCAGGGCATTAAAGCTGCCAAGTGATATTTTCTTTTCCCTGTCTAGGTGGCCCACAAGCTCTTTAACAGCCTGAAGTAGATGTGAAGATTCATTGTCCTCAAGCCTTCATCACCTGAGCATCAGGATGTTTCTTGTGGTTTTGAACATGTCATTTGTTTCTGATGTATATAAGTTCTTGGGAACCTCATGGATTTTGGCAAGTAGCTTCTATGTAATTAGCAGTGATTCCATCTTAATAAAGTCCTGTGATCTGCAGACCAGCTACTGTTCTTCTCCCTACCCCCTCCCACCCCCGTTTGTTTTATTTTATATTTTTTCAGTACTGAAAATTGAGCCCAGGGCCTTGTTCATGCTGGGGAAATGCCTTTCTATTGAGCTACTTCTCTTACCCTTTTATTTTGAAGCAGTCTTGCTAGGTTGCACATGCCAACCCTTGAATTTTTGATCCTCTTGCCTCAGCCTCCTGAGTAGTAGGGATTACAGGCATGTGGCACCAAGCTCAGCTCCTTTAATTTAGCCTTTTTTTGTTTTTCTTTCTCTTTTTTTTCTTTTATGTTGTGCTAGGAATTGAATCCAGGGTCTCGTGCACTCTAGGCAAGAGCTCTGTGACTGAGGTGTATCCATCAGACCTTAGGTTAGAATGTTAATTTGAAACTTTGAGCAGGGTGTGGTGATGCAAGGAGTTCAAAGAGCTGTATACAAATGTGTGTAAGGATAGAAATAAACTTACCCGGCTAGCCTGGAACTCACTTTGAAGATCATGCTGACCTTGAATGCACAAAGATCCCCTGGCCTCTCCTTCCTGAGTCTGGGAAAGTTTCAAATTAATGTTCTAAACTAGGGGTTGAGGATACAGCTCCATAGGACTTTTAAAAAATATGTATCATAGCTGGGCGTGTTGGTGCAGGCCTTTAATCCCAGTGCTTAGGAGGCACAGGCAGGTGAATCTCTGTTGAGTTCAAGGCCAGCCAGGTCTACATAGTGAGTTCCAGCCCAGTTGGGGCATATAGGGAGACCTCTTAAAAAGACCAATTGTCTTAAAAAACAGTGAAAGAATATTTTTCAAATTCATTTTATGAAGCCAGTATTATAGATAACATCAAATAAAAGACATTACAAGAAGAGAAAACGACATGCTAATATCTTTAACACAGATGCAAGAACACATCAATCAATAAAAATATATTAACTGAGATTAATGGCAGGCTTGTAATCCCAGCTACTCAGAAGGCTCAGGTAGGACTGCCTGGGCTATAGAGTGAGTTCAAGGCAAGGGTGGGCATCTTAGGCCCTGTTGTAAAAATAAGTAAACAAAAACTAAAAAGATGCCTGAGTACAGGGCTCAGAAGTGGATACTCTTGTAGCATGTGTGAAGCTCTAGGTTCCCTAATACCACATGTAAAAATGTTTTTTTAATTTTTTTTTTTTTGAGATAGGGTTTTCCTGTAGCCCCAGCTGGCCTGGAATTCACTATGTAGACCAGGCTGGCCTGAATCTTATAGAGATCCACCTGCCTCTGCTTCCTGAGTGCTGGGATTAAAGGCATGTACCACTACATCTGACCATAAATTTTTTTTTATTATTTTTTATCCAAAATGTGTTTATTGGGGTTGATTTCTCACTCATCTTGATTCAGGATACTTTTAGTGCTGCTTCTTCCTGAAGGAACATCCTTCTGTAAGCCGTGCTTTTCCACCTGTATGCTGACAGAGGCCAGTGGCACAGCTAACACACAAGACTATTGTTTGTGCATGGCTAAAGACTGGTGATTCTGTAAGCATCCTGGGTATTTCACATCCATGAAGTAGGAATTGGGGCTCTGCACCAGGTGCTTCTTGTGTTTCCTCTTCCGGAGAGGGATGAAGGAGATCGTTTGAAAGAGGCGTGTTCTCGTAGGGAGGTCATCACTGCTGTTGAAAAGCTTTATTTTTATTTTATGTATATGAGTGTTTTGCCTGCATGTATGTAGGTGTATCATATGTGTGTAATGCACATGGGGGCCAGAAGAGGGCATGAGATCCCCTGAAACTGGAGGTATAGATGGTTGTTAGCTGCTATGTGGATGTTGGGAATTGAACTCAGGTCTTCTGCAAGAACCACCAGTGCTCTTAACTGATGAGTCATCTCTCCAACTCCCATATAAGTTTAAATATATATGTGTATGTGTGTGTGTGTGTGTGTGTGTGTGTGTGTGTGTTTACAGGAATGCAAAGTTGGTTCATTAACAGGATAAAAATGTGATTATTTCAGTAGGTGCAATAAAATCATTGGGGGGGGGTGCTGGAGAAATGGCTTAGAGGGATAAGAGCACATACTAGTGCCCTTGCAGAGGACCCAAGTTGTGTTCCCAGCACCCACATCAGTGACTCACAGCTGCCTGTAACTTCAGTTGTAGAGGATCTGATGCCCTCTTCTGGACTCTGCAGACACCTATACTCATGTGCACAGACACACATATACACATAAATAAAAGAAAAACATTTGAAGCTGGGTGTAGTGGTGCATGCCTTTAATCCCAGCACACTAGAGGCAAAGGTAGGTAGATCTCTGAGATTGACGCCACCCTGGCCTACAGATCAAGTTCCAGGCCACCTGGGGTTATAAGGAGACCCTGTCTCAAACAAAATCTCACAAAACAAAAAGCATTTGGAGAAAATCAACACTCCATGATTTTTAAGAATCTCAGAAGGACACCTCAGCCTAGTAAAGGACATCATTGAACACACACACTTCAGCTAATATCACATATAAAGTAAAACACTGACTGCTTTCTTCCTAAGAAGGAAACAAGACAAGGGTATCTACTACCCTACTTGGATTCAACAGTGAAGTCCTAGCCAGTAAAATAAATGAAAACAAAAAACGAAACCCCACCAAAACAACAAACAGATGAAAGGTAAGTGTCTTTGCTTACAAAGGACATGATCATTTACATTTAAAAAATCTGGCCAGGTGTGGTGGTGCACGCCTTTAATCCCAGCACTCGGGAGGCAGAGGCAGGTGGATCTCTGAGTTCAAGGACAGCCTGGTCCACATAGTTCCAGGACATCTGGGGCTACAGGGAGACCCTGTCTCAAAAAGACCAAAACCAAAAAAAATTCTGAAGATAATTTTAGTCAAATCTAGCAAGGTCTCTGGATAAAAGATCACACAAAATTATTCTTTCTTAAAAGGATTTGTTTAAAAAATTTTTAATTATTCACTTTTATTATATGTGTATGAGTGTACTGCCTGCATGTATATAAGTGCACCCGTGTCATGCAATGTCTGCAGAGGACAGAAGAGGGTATTCAATCCCCTAGAACTGGAGTTATGGATGGTTGTCAACTGCCATGTGGGTGCTGGGATTCCAACCCGGGTCTTCTGCAAGAGCAGCCAGTGCTTTTAACTACTGAACCATCTCTCCAGCCCCAAAGGATTTGTTTATGTGTATGAGTTTTTGTCTTGCATATGTGTAATTATGCCCATAGTTATGCAATGCCCTTAAAAGCCAGAAGAGGGTATCACATCTCCTGGAACTGGAGTTTCAGACATTTGTTAGCTATCATGTGGGTGCTGGGAATTGAATCTTCTACAACAGTAGCCAATGCGCTTAACTGCTGAGCCATCTCTTCAGCCTCACAGAATTCTTAAAAAAAAATTTTTTTTTGAGACAGACTCACTATGTAGCCCTAGGTAGCCTGGAACTCCATATGTAGACCAAGCTGGAACTCACAGAAATCCACTTGCCTCTGCGTCCTGAGTGCTGGGAGTAAAGGTGTGTGATACCACATCTGACTGTTTTTGTTTTTTTCTTGAGATAAGGTCTTGCTAAGTTGTCCAAGCTGGCCTCAAACACAATCCTCCTGCCTTAGCCTATTGAATGCTGTGATTAGAGGTATGATCCACCATATCTGACTCATCCATTGTACCAGAATTCTTTTGAAAAATGAACAAAGTGGGGCTAGGTAGATGACTCAGTAGTTAAGAGCACTTGGTGTATAGGCATGAGGACTTGAATTAAAATCTCAAACCCAGGGACTGGAGAGACTGCTCAGCAGTTAAGGGTATTTGCTGCTCTTGCAGAGGACCTGGGTTTGGTTCCCAGCTCCCACATGTAGGCTAACCAGCATTCATAGCTCCAGGGGATCTTTTACCCTATTCTGACCTCCTCAGGCATTGCATGACACAGGTGCACCTAATGTACATGCAGGCAATACATATAAAATAAAAAAATAAAATATTTTTACCCAAATATGCATACCCAAATGAAAATGCACACCTCTAACCCCAGAACTGGGGTAGGGGTGTGGAAACAGGATTGCTGGCCACCAGCCTACCTCCAGTTTAAGTGAAAAACAGTAATTGAGCGGGGACACCCGATGTCATCCTCTAGCCTGTGGGATGTACATGGGTGTGTGCATACACCACACACACACACATTAAAAAAATTAAGAAATGATGCCAATCCAATACCAATGGTCCCTAAATTGCCCATACTCCTGTGAATAAACCAAATTAAACTCATTGGCTTAGGAAGCCAGAGTTATGTGGGATTGTTACTTTGATCTGTAGTTGGTGCCCTATCTGTAGTGAAGAGATGCTTATTTTATCTTGCCAGGAAAAGTCAGAACACAGCTCCTGTCCAATGTAATTTTTTTGATATAATGAATGTGAAACAGAAGATGTACAGAGTTCAGTGAACCAAGGCTTTATACATAAGCACTATATGTACAAAAGATTCATTCCAGCTGGGCATGGTCGTGGCACATGCCTGTAGTCCCAGCACTCGGGGGCAGAGGCAGGCAGATCCCTGTGAGTTCAAAACCAGCCTGGTCTATATAGTGAGTTCCAGGACAGCTGGGGCTACAGGGAGACCCTGTCTCAAAAAAAAAAAAAAAAAAAAAAATTCATTCCAAGTACAGGATAAGTCAGTGAGTTTTAATGTAACAGGTTATTTAAGGTTCTTGATACAGTATCCACTAACACAGGCATTAAACTTTAGGGGAAGTGTTATTTTTCAAGTATTTATGTAATATCAATTAGAAATTTTAGTTATATTAATAGCTATGAAAGCTATTAAAGAGGCAGGCATAGTGGCACCTGCCTTTGATCCCAGCACTCAGGAGGTGAGGCAAGCAGATCACTGTGAGATCAAGGCTAGCCTGGTCTACTTAGTGAATTCCAGAACATCTGGGGCTACAGGAAAATCTTGTCTCAAAAATACCCAAAAAGCCAGGCGGGCACACCTTTAATCCCAGCACTCAGGAGGCAGAGGCAGGCGGATCTCTGTGAGTTCAAGGCCAGCCTGGTCTACATAGTTCCAGGATAGCTGGGGCTACAGGGAGACCCTGTCTCAAGAAGACAAAACAAACAAACAAACAAAAACCCAAAAAAAACAATGGGCTGGAGAGATGGCTTCAGTGGTTAAGAGCACTGACTGCACTTTCAGAGGACCCAAGTTCGAGTCCCATGTGGGCTAACAACCATCTAAAACTCCAGTTCTTGGGATCTGATACCCTTTTCTGACCTCTGCAGGCATTGCACAACACAGGCACACTTACATGCAGGCAATACATTCATACACATAAAAATAAAATATTTTAAGAAAAAATAAAAATACCAAAAAACAAAAAAGAAAACTTTAAAAATACTTCTCTTTCTTTACATACTTTAATTAGAACATCTCTCAACAGACTGAAGAAGCAGATGGGTAATCTATCCTCTATTAACCCATACAGTAACTTAGCAAACACCAAAATTTTTAGATTTTTTTTTAAAGATGGGGGTCTCACTATGTAGTCCCAGCTGACCTGGAACTTGTTATGTAGACCATCTAGTCTTGAATTCACAAAGATCTACCTGCCTCTGCTCTCTGAGTACTAGGATTAAAGGTGAGTGCCACTACACCCGTCCTTCTATTTTAAAGTGTGCACACGTGTGTGTATCAAGTGTTTGCTTCGAAACATATACTAAAAATGGAATGATACAGGGAAACAGGTTAGCATGGACCCTGTACAAGGATGGCATGCAAATTTGAGCGGTCCACATTAAAAAGAGACAGATCCTGAGACCAAAATGTTTGAGAACCACTCATCCAGTCCAGCCCTTCCTTTTTTGCTTTTCCATTTAAGTAAAAAAACTTAAATTTATTGTATGTATGTACATGTGTGGTATGACACACGTGTTGAGGTCGGAGAACAACTTGTGGGAGTCAATTTTCTCCTTCCACTATGTGGATTATGGGGATCAAATTCAGGTCATTAAGCCTAGCAGCTAGTGCCTTTACCTGCTAAGCCATCTTGCCAGCCCCTGCTTTTCTATTTTGTTGGTGGGTAAACTGAGGCAGGGCTGGGATGAGAAAGAGGCCCTTTCCCAGTAGGTAGTGGCTGTGAGCATGACACATTTGGTTTAAGACTAAGAAAAGGTGTGTCTGGAACACAGTATATTTAATCTCCTCAGAAAATCCATACCTTGGACTGTAGAGATAGCTCAGCATTTAAGAACACTGACTCTTCTTGCAGTAAGACGTGGGTTCAAATCCCAACACCCACATGGCAGCTAACAACTGTAACTCCAGTTCTGACAGCCTCTTCTGTCCTCTGTGGGCATTGCACAACACGGGTGCACTTACATACATGCAGACAATACACTCATATAATAAAATATTAAAAAAAGAATTCCCTTTAAAAAAAAAGAAAATTCACATCTTAATATTTATCAATTTTTAAATGCCTTTATATATGTAGTGCTAGATGCTACATATAGTTTAAAAAAACACATAATAGGGCTGGAGAGATGGCTCAGCGGTTAAGAGCACTGACTGCTCTTGCAGAGGACCCGGGTTTGAGTCCCAGCACCCACATGGTGGCTACGAACCGTCCTTAACTCCAATTCCAGGGGGAATCCAGGCCAGGAACTTCTGACCTCCGAGGCATTGTACAACACGGGTGCACTCACATACGTGCAAGCAATACACTCATACACATAAAAAATAATAAATAGGCCTGGTGTGGTGGTGCATGCCTTTAGTCCCAGCACTTGGGAGGCAGAGGCAGGCGGATATTTGTGAGTTCAAGGCCAGCCTGGTCTACATAGTGAGTTCAGGTCAGCTGGGGCTACAGGGAGACCCTGTCTCAAAAAGACCAAAAAAAATTTTTTTTAAAAACCACATAAACAAAATCCTTGTTCTTTTTAATTCTTTTTAATTAGTTTTTTTGATTATTTTTATGTGTATGAGTGCTTTGCCTGCATGCATGTAAAGGCACCCATGTTGTGCAATGCCTTTGGAAGCCTGAAGAGGGTGTTGGATCCCCTGGAACTTGAGTTTCAAATGGTTGTTAGACATCATTTGGGTGCTGGGTCCTTGTCCTCTGTAGGAGTAGTCAGTGCTCTTGCCCTCTTGTTCCTTTCTTAGGTTTATTACATTTTATTTGTGTTTGTGTGTTTGTGTGTGTGTGTGTGTAGGTTAAGTGAAGGTCAGAAGACAACTTTGGGAGTTGATTCTCCTCTCCCACCACCAACTAAATCTTACATTCCTTTTTTTTTTTTTTTTTTTGGTCTTTTTTTGAGACAGGGTCTCCCTGTAGCCCCAGCTGTCCTGGAACTCACTATGTAGACCAGGCTGGCCTTAAACTCACAGAGATCTGCCTGCCTCTGCCTCCCAAGTGCTGGGACTAAAGGCATGCACCACCACACCCAGCAACATAAAATTTTTTTTTTTTTAAAAAAGAATGTAAGATTTAGCCAGGCGTGGTAGCGCATGCCTTTAATCCCAGCACTCAGGAGGTAGAGGTAGGTGGATTTCTGTGAGTTCAAGGCCAGTCTGGTCTACATAGTGAGTTCCAGGCCAGGCCTATACAGGGAGACCCTGTCTCAATATGACCAAAATTTTTTATTATTATTACTTCTGAATGGCCCCCACCTCTTTTTTAAAAAAGATAATTTATTGAGAATTTCATACGTGCATATAAGGTGCTTTGATCAAATCTATGCCCATTCCCTCCCCTCCAACTCCTCCCATATCACCCCATCACTTTTTTCTGATAACTTCATATACTCTTTCTTCTTTGACTGATTTATTTATTTTTATGGGGCTTTTGGCTACTCTAACATTCCTCCCTCTGAAAAGGTATTCCTAAAATATTTTTTTTTCCCAAATACTTTTGACATTTTTGGCCTTTGGAATGGAGTATGTTGCTAAGAGGCCCAAGGACATTGTGACCTTTAGCCAAGAAACTGGCTACTTTTCTTTGGGGTCTTTTTACCCTAACTGCCTATGATGGAATCAAACCAAGTCCCCCCAGATTGAAAGAAGAATATTCTGGAAAGCTGTACAAGGAAGTAAGATGTAAAATCTAACTGCTGAGAAAAAGCTGACCTTTTCATGCTCTGTGCTCAAGCTGAAAATTACCCGAAATTTCCCCCTCCCACTGCTGCCGGCCCCCTCCCACTGCTGCCGGTTTTGGTTTGTGGTTTTTGCCTTTAAAAGAAGCCTGTAAGCTGAGCTCTGGGCTGCTTCTCTCTCTCCCTCTCTCTCTCTCTCTCTCTCTCTCTCTCTCTCGTGAGGCAGGAGCCCATCTGCACAAACGATTAAATCCTCTTACTTATTGCATCTCCTGGTCTGAGGACTGAGTTATTGGGATGCGACCTTCCGTGGACGTTGGGTACCCCAGACCGGGGGTCTAACACCTAGCCAATTGCTACCTTCTATTCTTATCACACCATCCTCTGAAGAGGTTACCCAACTTGTAGATAGGGAATCTGGACGCAGACCGCTCTGGCATCTTCCATGCTGAACAGGGACGCCGGGTGAGGCAATTGGGGTACCCCTTCAGTGGGTCTATCTAAAAGACTCCCAAATTGTGTAACTCTTTGTGTGTGTGTGTGTGTGTGTGTAGGAGAATTTATTTTTATTTTATATGTAAGTATATTGCCTGCATGTGTGTAAGTGCACCTGTGTTGTACAGTGCCCAAGGGGGGTCAGAAGAGGGTGTTGGATCCCCTGGAACTGGAGCTATAGATGGTTGTTGACCACCATGTGGGTGCTGGGAACTGAACCAAATCCTCTGCAAGAGCAGCCAGTGTGCTAAACTGCTGAGCCATCTCTCCAACCCCATTACATTTTAATGAAAGGAGACATGTCCTGAAAAATTCTCCAAAATTTAAAAATAGGCAAATAGCCTGGCTTGGTGGCACATACTTTTAATCCTAGAACTCAGGAGGCAGAGGCAGGCAGATCTCTGTGAGTTCAAGGCCAACCTGGTCTACATGGTGGGTTCAGTTCCCAGCACCCACATGGAGGCTCACAACCATTGGTAACTCCAGTTCCAGGGGATCTGATACTGTCTTCTGATCCCCTCAGGCATTGTGTGGCATGGCTACACTTACATTTATGCAGGCAAAACATTCATACACATAAAAATAAATAAAAATGTTTTAAAAGTCCTACTATAGGGGCTAGAGAGATGGCTCAGCAGTTATGAGTACTGACTGCTCTCACAGAGGACCAAGGTTCATGGCCCCTAACAACTGTCCATAACTCCAATTCTAGAGATTCTGACACCTCATCTCTGCAGGCACTGTACAACGTGGGTGTATTTACATATATGCAGGCAATACACTCATGTACAAAAGATAAAAATAATAGGATATTAAAAAAATAAGTCTAGCTGGGCGTGTTGGTGCACGCCTTTAATCCCAGCACTTGGGAGGTAAAGGCAGGCAGATCTCTGCGTTCAAGGCCAGCCTGGTCTACATAGTGAGTTCCAGGACAGCTGGGGCTACAGGGAGACCCTGTCTCAAAAAAGACAAAAAAAAAAAGGTCTTACTATATTCCTAGTACCCTGGTCATTTAAGATAATGTCATATGTTTATGTCTGTATGAGAGTTATATTTAAAATTTTTCTGTGTGTGGTATATGTGTGTATATGCTCATGTGTGTTTGTGTGTGTGTAGGCCAGAGGTCAATGTCAGGTGTCATTCACTTTCCACTGTGAGAAAGACAGGGTCTCACTGAACCTTGAGCTACTAGGCTGGTTTGCCAGCATGTTCCAGGAAATCTGCCCGACATTTTTTTAAACCTTTTAAAAATTATAACCTGAGGGCTGGGCATGGTGGCACATGCCTTTAATTCCAACACTTGGGAGTCAGGAGCAGGCGGATCTCTATGAGATCGAGGCTAGCCTGGTCTGCATAGCAAGTTCCGGGCCAGCTGAGGCTACAGGGAAACTGTCTCAATAAGACAAAAATAAATAAATAAATAAAAACCTGAATGTGGTGGTACACACCCCTAATCCCAGCACTTGGAAGGCAGAGGTGGGTGGGTATCTGTGAATTCCAGGCTAGCCAGGGCTATACAGTGAGACCCTGTCTCAAAACCAAACATTCAAATAACCCCTCCAAGAAAATCCCTAAAAAAAAAAAAA